ATATCCTGGGGTTTTTTTGTGTCATTTTTTGGTGCTGTTGCTGCTCTAGGTTCTACCAAAAGTTAAAACAATATGTTCTAAGGTTTTTAATAATAGTTTTTCATTTTTAGCCCTGTTAGCCCATATATACCAGCCGTCCCTGATTGGGATGTTACAGAAAATAAACTGGATTAAAATCGATGAATGTGACTTGTGATTTTTAAAACGGCGTCCTCATGTAATGAAATATTTAATTGAATTGAATAGGCTACAAATAATAGTGCACAATTGCAATGTGCCTTATCTGGTGAGGCAACGTAACAAAATTAATTAATTCAAGTATAAAGGCACATCCATATCTATCATGAATCATTATATTTGTTGTGCAGTTATGTACATACCAAACATTTCAAACCGATATCAAAATATGACATCCTTAGGTAACATATACACAAAACTAAAAGAAAAACCTCAGTCATAACTTTATATATATATATATATATATATATATATATATATATATATATATATCTAAAGTATTTCAGGTAAAGACTTTATGTAGAAAGTTTCAAATAAATTGTGTATTGAATAACAGAATAAAGACAATAATACATTTCTTCCTCATCTTGCAAGATTTCTTAAAGTAACTAACTGATGTTTCCAATGTGAATATATTTATATTTGTGTTTTTCTTATTTAATGGATGTCAGGTTGTAGCAGTCCCAGAATAAACAGTGTTGGTTTTACAAACAAAGTGAGACCTTCAGATCAATTTTGTGTCCCAACTGAATTTTAGATTTAAGTTGGTGACCTCTCTGATTATGTCAATGATGTCTTTTAAAGTATCACTACCAGACGAGATTGGGGAATAACAGTGTTGACTTTACATGATAAGCAGCTGTTTTCACATGATATGTAAATGTATTCATCTATAAACATCAGATAACAATTTTAAGCCACTGTTATTATATTATTATTATTTCTTACAGCTGTTGCAGATTAAATAATAATACCCCTATTGTATACTTAATGTCAGTGTCTGTGGTCATCAGTGTTGGGCAGTAACTCATTACTAGAAATAATATTACAGTAACAATATTCCTTTCCCCAGTAACTAGCAGTGTAACTAATTACTAATAATACTCCCTCAAAAAATAATTAGGTACAATGTTACTTTGGTTGTCACCCTCTACTGATTTGACAATCCAATCACATCCTTGGATTCATTTTTGTAAAAGTGGAGGAAACTAGTTTTGAAAATGGAAATACTCCATTACTTTAATTTTAACAAACTGGATTTTAATCATCATAAGTCTGGATTTTGGGGAGGAAGGATGCCACCATTAGCAATTTTGTGGGGAGTAGCAGAAAAGTAATATAACCAGTAGTGTAACTCATTACTGTTAGAATAGAGTAACAAGTAAAGCAATTATATACATTTTTAAGAGAGTTATGACTAATATGTTAAATTTTTTTGAGTTACTACCCCAACATTTTTCTCCTACAGGTAAAATAAGCTTTCTTTTTTCTAAAACATTTTGAATTTCCTCTGTGTAAGAAAGGTTCTGTACAAATAAACTTTACATCCATTAACCTCCACATTACTGACTCAAACCTTGGACACATATAATGCTGTATGTGGACACCATTAAACCCACATATAACTGTTTAACATCTTATTCCACCCAACCACTGGCATTAATAAACTTAAAATGCTATAACAGCCTCCAGTCTTGCAGTGATTTGCCCCCATTCAGCCACAAGAGTGTTAATAATGTTACATGATGTTACACCTGGACCCACCAAACCTGTGAGAACCATTATGGACCAACTGTCTGCATTATCATGTTGAAAAAAGGGAAAAAAGGACATTTTCCCCAAAGTTTTGCCACAAAGTTGTAAGCTCTGTTGTCTAAATATCACTGTATGCCAGGGGGTGTCCACATACTTCTGGCCCCCTGTGCACTAACTCTCTCACACCCAACCAAATGATGCCCAGACCTGCGTGCGTCACTGCCGGAGGACAAGCCCACCAAGCTTCCTCTCAGCGCATTTCCGGGAAAGTTCGGCAAGCTGCAGCTGCCTCACCTTTATTCTGTGTCTGTAAAGAGTCTTAGGACTTCCAAAAGTTTATAAAAAAACATGAGTGAAATCAACCCAAACAATTCGGCTCCAGCTGAAGACAACGGAGAGGAGAAAGACTGGGCTGCGGCCAAAGCTTTTTTTGACAACCTCAAAACAAACAAACCGAGACCTGTGAGTGTTTTCCTGAAAAAGTTTACTACCATAAGCGTGTGTGTGTGTGTGTGTGTGTGTTAGCTGCGCATGCTTTCTTGCATACACTTTGTGTGACTTTATAAGTGCTAAACAAACCTACTGTTGCATGCACATTTATCCTCTCACAGCCCAAACCCCGGTATGCTGTCACCATCGCTGTCTCCTCACGCACCCTCTTCAACATGGTGGCAGAGAGGAAGATCTATGAGGAAGAAGGACTGGAGAAGTATGTGGCTCATCAAGTGGAGCATGAAAACGAGCCTCTGAAGCCAGGACCTGCTTTCCCCTTCGTCAAGGTAGGCCTGAAGCCCTGCTGCAAGTCTCTGCAGGGTGTTTGTAGGGTGTTTGTAGGGTGCTTCAGGGTATTTGCAGGGTCTGGTCCCTGAAATTGAGCTTAAAGCAGGTTGTTGACACAGTCCACACCAGGAGCAACTTGCTTTACAAAAACAAAGACTGTGATCTCTGCATGCTGGTTTTTAAGCCCCGTATCCAGATCTAGAGTCTAGTGTTTGTGCTGAGACTATTTAAGGGATATTGCATGTAAGGCCACACCTCAGTGAGTCATGTATTTGGCATTTGGCACTGTCGGATCCACTGCAATCGTAAAAATGGTTACTTCCTTTAAGTTAGGTGTTTCTTTACTGTCTGTTCATTCATTCTTTAAACGTCCGATATCAGGAGGTCATGTCATCTACTTCTGTTATGATGGTGGTTCCTCACTTACTTATAATTTCCTCATTTAAAGACAAACAAATCCAGACTCTCCTCTGCTAAAGGGCAAAAAAAACTGCATGTTAAAGCAAATGTTCAAAACCGCTTCACTCCTTCCTGGTATGCAATCATACAACCCATGAAATCACAGCAGTCTTCAGCAAGAAAATCTAAATTTTTTTAAAGAATGAAAAGGTGGAAAAACCTACTGTTCAACTTAACCCATAAAGGTTGGTTGATGTTCAGAGCCGGTGATTGTGCAGACCTGCTGTTCCTCAGACCACTCTGGGGCATTGTCACCATGATTGCATCTTGTTACTGTAAAATTATCTTAGCTGTTATGCAACACTTCTCAGTGAGGAGATATACAGACCTGCCACCACAGCTGGCAGCAGACACTGTGGATTAAGGCTTTGTTTGGCTTTCTCCAAATGTAAACCTGCCTGGATTTCGGGTATAAAGTGATCAATGACTCACTGGAACATGTTAATTATTTCCATTGCACCATTGCTCCTTGTCTTCTCCACAAGCAGCTTCTTAATGGCAGAAATGCCACAATAACACCCTTTTTTTTTTAGCTGAAACTGAGTAACAGATGTGTTGGTTTAATTCCTCTGAATTACTAGAATCACTAGAAATGTCCTTACTTACCAGTATAGAAGTTATAATTGCTTCAATATATGGATATATGCACTCAGTTGCCAGTTTATTAGGAACACCTAGCTCAAACTATTGCAGTCTAATACAACAGTCCTGTAATAAATCCCATTTTTATGAAGGTTATAATTGTGACTCTTTGTTGACGCTGTTTTAGAAAGGTGTTGATTCAACTTGATGGTCATTTTGGAAGCTGTAATTTGTGTTGCTGTTGCATTATAAGGGGCTATAATGAGAGATGTTTCTTATATTTAGCCTACACTCATTTATATAAACAGTGTGGACAAAATATTAGAAACACTTCTCATTATAATACAACAACAGCGCCACTCACTAAAGCCTACAAAATAAACATTTGAACCTTTGTGAAGATAGAACTTATTGCAGGACTGGTGTATTGTAGTGTACCTAATAACCAACTTTGAAGATATTTAGGATTTATCATGTATGTTCATCACTAACTTGCAAAGATATAGAAAATGTATATCTCTAGCCTATTTATTTCACTCAAATGTTGCTGTGACAAGTGAATTTCCCCATTGTGGGATTAATAAAGCTATCTATCTATCTATCTATCTATCTATCTATCTATCTATCTATCTATCTATCTATCTATCTATCTATCTATCTATCTATCTATCTATCTAAATCCCTCAAATTTGTTAATTATGAAAATGGCCAGGATAGGTAGCGATGAGATATTTTCCAGTTAAAAAACAAACTTCTTGACGTCAGCTTCTAACCTACCTCAAACATATCCTTGACATTTCTGTTCTGTAATATCATGTTACTTATCAGCTGAAGTACACACTGATACCAATATACCTGTTATAAGACACCATTATGTGATACTGATGATGGCCTTTGTGGTTTATAAAGCACATTCCTTTCTTTCAGTCTTGTTTTCATGCCCTGAAGTTATCTTTTTTAAAACCGTGTTACTAAACTCTGGTTCAAATGTTCTCCAGGTCGTGTTGTAACCTCATGTTGAATGCTGTGACACAACATCCTGTCTTTTGGTGTAACGCAGTCTGTCCTCTCACGCAGGCGCTGATGAATGTCAACTCTCGTCTGAGGGAGCTCTATCCAGACAGCGAGGAGCTGTTTGACATCGTATTAATGACTAACAACCATGCCCAAGTCGGAGTGCGCCTCATAAACAGCATTAATTACTATGGTACGCTGCGCCCTAAACCAAACATTGTTGATTGTTTCAGCACGGTGGTGGCTTGCCTGCTGCAGCAGCAACAGGCATAATGAAGAACAGCACCCAGTCCAGTAATTACACAGTAGAAATGAAGAAGAGCTGTTATAGTGTAATTAGAATGGGGATTTCTTTCTTCAGCACATCTCTAACTTGCTTTTATACTTTTCAGATCTGACCATAGAGAGATTCTGTATGACAGGAGGAAAAAGTCCCACAGGCTACCTAAAGGCGTACATGACAAACCTTTACCTCTCCAAGGACTCGGAGAAAGTCACAGAGGCCATCGAGGAAGGTAAGTTGGATTATAACCCTGATGTCTATCACACACAACTTTACTGCTTAATAAATACATCAGTACATCAGCAGCCTAGAGGTGTATTTGTACCACACTGATATTCCCACACTTGCATGTTGATTTTGTGTGTGACTCATTCTCGACCCCACACTACGCAGCGAGAAGGAGCTGGTGGAAGACAGCATGTGATTTATGATTTGCTGTTTTTTTTTTTATCTGTTTTCTGTCACTGTAAATTCAAAATAAGGTATTTGAAGATGTCACTTTGGGATCCAGGGAACTGTGATCGTGTAACACTAATACAGCTCCTAGTACTATAACCAATAAGTCAATCAGGTTTTGTATATTCTTTTATAACAATACAGGTATAACTTATTTCTCTCTATAATTTTATTTGCCATTTTTTTCCATAACCCTTCGACGTCTTATTAACTAAATGATTTATAGATTTGATACAGAAAATAATCATTATTTGCAGCACTACTCCTATACATTTTATAATAAAATTCACTTCAAGCGTCTCAAAATTACAGATATCCATATCCAAGCCCACATTCATGCACATACATGCTAACACTGCCTCAACCATGGCAGGATTTCAAATCAGGCTCATCTGAGCCGTACACGGACAGACTTGAAATACAAATGAATAACAGCGAGTAGTTGATTGTATACCATCACCTATTAAAGGCTCCAGATTTATTTATAAGGAAGTGGATGATCAGAACAGGCTTCCCTTGATGGCAACAGGTTTACAGTCCTGAAATCCTTCAGAATATTCCTTTTTAAAGATGAACAATTTCTGACCCCAAGCATGCTTTTAACCATCCCTTCCCTCCTTCAGGCATTGCTGCAGCCACCATGTTTATGCAAGAAACAGATAAAGAGAATCAGTTGAGCGACACGCAGCTGAGAGTGGCGTTTGATGGCGACGCCGTCCTCTTCTCGGACGAGTCAGAGATTATTGTCAAGAAACACGGCCTGGACACCTTCTTTGAGCACGAGAAGGAGTTTGAGAACAAACCTCTCGCTCAGGTAACTGATGGTTGTTTCTGTGTACTTTAACATCACTGGCACTAGAATACACTGTTTATAAAAGAACAAGGGGTGAAGAGACATTCTGTAGAAATTGCACAGGTTTTTTAGGTTTGTTGAGTTTTCCTCTTTTCATTGAATACTGCAGATTTACCCTCATAAACAAATTCCTCAGTCTGGGTTTCAGCTGATAGATTTATTGTGCTTTGATGGCTGAAATGCTCTTTCAGAAGCTTTTCAACCCTTTGGTTAGAAAGTGGCGGTCACCCTCAAAAGATTTCCTCGCTGGGATTCATGTGAATGTGAACGGCCCATTAATGATTGGTTGTAGCTGCGAATCCACAGAAAAAGAGTTGGAAGACGAGTATGTGGAATAAAAAATATGATGCAGCATCAATTTGTTTTCTTTTAACTGTCCATTGCTAAGTACTCTTAAGTCTTCTCTGTTATTAGTTTAGATTTTCTGTTTGCACATGCTGTATACAGTGGCAGAAACCCCAGATAACATAAATAAAACAGATGTGACAGGAGAGGTCAAGGAGCCACAGGCGCAATAAGAAACACACAAGCTGAACAGAAGAGTTCACCCAGTCTTATCAGCTATCACAACAACACCTGTAGGGGTCAAAGCAAGGCTGTGGAAAATGTCTGCAGGGTTTGGGAACCTGCTCTGCTGGCTCTAAATGTATTTTAAATCAACTTAGGCATCACTGTACTCCTTGTGTGAACTGGTGTGCGTGTGTTTTTAAACTTTTCATTTGCATACTGCTTTTATTAATATGCTCAATCAAAAAGCAGTTGCATAATCACAGAGCAGTTTTTCAGATTCAAAGGTGCTGCAACCAGTGTGTAGATCAATCTAGTGTAAAGAAAGAATAACAAAGAGGAAGAGAGAGATTTTTCTATTAATTATAAAATAATCCTAACTACATATAAACATTTCATTTATATAAAGATGCTGGTGTTGGGTTCATTCCTTCACTGATTCCACTTTAATCTGTCCCTGTGTTGCTTATTTCAAAACTTTATGAATGAATTAAATTCTTTGTCTCTTTTCAGGGTCCCTTAAAGTGTTTCCTGGAGTCTCTCGGGAAACTACAGAGAAAATTCTACGCCAAGAACGAGCGTATGAACTGTCCCATCCGAACCTTCCTGGTCACGGCCCGCAGCGCTGCCAGCTCTGGGGCTCGTGTCCTGAAGACTCTCCGCAGCTGGGGCCTGGAGATCGACGAGGCTCTCTTCCTGGCCGGGGCGCCCAAAGGGCCTCTGCTGCAGAAGATAAAACCCCACATCTTCTTCGACGACCAGATGTTCCACATTGACGGGGCCAAGGAACTAGGGACCATATCTGCACATGTCCCCTACGGGATCGGACAGAAGTACCACAAGGGGAAACTCATCGAGCAGCCTGCAAAAAAGGAGTAACCTAAAAACGGTTAAACTATTAAGGATGCACTACGTTGAATAAAATAAAAAAAAAATAACAGCTACTTTTATAGGATTTAGGTATGTAATTGGTAATGCAGTCTACAAAGTTTCCTACTTTTTCAGGGTTTTATAAATATTTGATGCTGTTTTGTTTTGGGATAGGGTATTATTGATGAGTGGGGGAATGTATTTTCAATTAGTTAGAGTTACAATAGGTGCCATACACTATTTCCACTTAATACTGTTTTGGAGGAGAAACACCAGATTCATTACTTATCAGTGCCTTTTAATCATACTATTGGTGTACCTGTTTATCTTCTTTTTTTCTTCTTACATTGGAGCATTGACAGTATATATACATCAGTATATGTGCATTGGAGTTAGTCGGTTTCTTTACTTTTTTTTTTTTTTTATAAGTCTTTGGCATGTTCACTAAGACCAGGGTGGTAGAATGTTTCTGCTATAGTAGTTGTTTTTTTTCCTGCATTGGATCTTTTATAGACTTAAAAATCAACAGCCAGGTAAACAAATAGCAACCAAAACAATATATTACATTTTGCATGTGTAATATATTCATATCTGTTTTAAAGGGCTATATACACCTGGTAAAATAAGTATTGAAAACATCACCATTTTTCTCAGTAAATATATTTTAAAAAAGGTGTTATTGTCATGAAACTTTCACCAGATGTTGGTAACAACCGGTGCAATCCATACGCAAAGAAACCAAAATAAATAATTTCACAAATTAAAGTTATGTGTAATAAAATGGAATGACACAAGGAAAAGGTATTGAACACGCTTACTGAAATTATACTTAATATTTCGTACAAAAGCCTTTGTTGGTAATGACAGCTTCAAGACGCCTCCTGTATGGAGAAACTAGTCACATGCGTTGCTCAGGTGTGATTTTGGCCCGTTCTACCGCACAGTCTTCATATCTTTAAGTTTCCGTGGGCCTCTTCTATGAACTCTGATCTTTAGTTCTTTCCATAGATTTTCTATTGGATTCAAGTCAGGTGATTGGTTGGGCCATTCTAGCAGCTTTATTTTCTTTCTCTGAAACCAATTGAGAGTTTCCTTGGCTGTGTGTTTGGGATCATTGTCTTTCTGAAATGTCCACCCTTGTTTAATCTTCATCATCCTGGTAGATGGCAGCAGATTTTTATCAAGAATGTCTCCGTACATTTTTCCATTCATCCTTCCTTCAGTTATATGAAGTTTGCCAGTGCCGTATATTGCTGAAAAACAGCCCCACACCATGATGTTCCCACCTCCAAACTTCACTGTTGGTATGTTGTTTTTGGGGTGATGTGCAGTGCCATTTGACCTCCAAACATGCTGTGTATTATGGCATCCAAAGAGTTGAGTTTTGGTCTCATCTGACCAGACCATAATCTCCCAGTATTTCACAGGCTTGTCTAAATGTTGTGCAGCAAACTTTAAACTCGCTTCAACATGCTTTTTCTTCAGCAATGAAGTCTTGCGAGGTGAGCGTGCATACAGGCCATGGCGGTTGAGTGCATTACTTATTGTTTTCTTTGAAACAGTTGTACCTGCTTATTCCAGGTCTTTCTGAAGCTCTCCACAAGTGGTCCTTGGCTCTTGGACAACTCTTGTGATAATTCTTTTCACTCCTCTGTCAGAAATCTTGTGAGGAGCACCTAGTCGTGGCCGGTTTATGGTGAAATGATATTCCTTCCACTTCCGGATAGTGCTCACTGGAACATTCAGAAGTTGAGAAATCCTTCTGTAACCAATGCCATCAGTATATTTTGCAACAATAAGGTTGCGAAGGTCTTGAGAGAGCTCTTTGGTTTTACCCATCATGAGATGTTTCTTGTGTAATGAGACACCTTTTTATAGGCCATCAGTTGGGACTGAACCAGCTGATATTAATTTACACTGACACGTGGCAGGATTGCTTTCTAATTACTGATAGATTTCAGCTGGTGTCTTGGCTTTCCATGCCTTTTTGCACCTCCCTTTCGTCACGTGTTCAATACTTTTTCCCTGTGTCATTTCACATTATTACACACAACTTAATTTATGGACATATATGGTTTGATTTCTTTGCATGTGTGGATTGCATGGGTTGTAACCAACATCTGGTGAAAATTTCATGTCAATAGCACCTTTAGAAATATATTTACTGAGAAAAATGGTGACGTGTTCGATACTCATTTTACCCGCTGTATATCAGGGCACAGTGTGTATGGCTTCACTGATGCTGTCATTCTTTGTTACTGTTTTTGTTGTTAATGCGCACAAACTGCATAAAACATTTACGCTTTATATCCCTCAAACTTTTATACTCGTGTTCTGCGAGTTTACGCTTTTACATTGGACCTGGATGTCATGCAGCACAATGTTACTACACTTTTCTAATGTGTTTTTATATATTGTAGGTTGAACTACATATGTTCTATATGTTTGCAGATTGCATTGTATGTGCCTGTATATTGCACAGATATGAAAATGTATGCATAACTAAACATTATTGAGGAGTTTCACAGTTACACTCACTCATTGGGAAACATATATCATGTCTGGTGATATTTCTCAATGACAGATCAAGTGGTATTTTGTATCGATTGTATTCGTCTTGTGACAACAATAAAATCATTTTTGAAACATTTAATGATTTTATATGTTATATATTTATATTATATTTATATTTTTTAACTTTTAGCCCCTTTAACCTTTATAGCTAATGAGTGCATTGAGTGCAGATGAAGTAGTTGGATGAATAAAGGAATGTGGAGAAACCTCAGTGGCTGGTCTTTGCCATTGGTTGAAAGTGATTAAGTAAAATTTTTAGGCACTTTTACATGTTCTACTTTATACTTCCGCTCCAATGTATTTCAGGGGGATATATTGTACTTTTTACTAGATTGCATGTAGATCATGCTTCATTTAAATTAATTTATATCGTGTTGAAGCAAGCGATTCCCAACCTTTATGGCTTGTGACCTGTTACAAAAAGTTGTCTAATAATAATAACTAAAGGATTTCCTCTCTATACTTTGCAGAAGGTTTAAGGCTGCTGAAAAGTCCCAAAAATTAATACAAATATATGTAGCACAGCTTTGTGCTAATATCCAATTAATCATCTCATAACCCTCAGATTCAGTGGGAATCACTGGAGTAGACCTCCAACCTGTATATTAAGTATAAAATACTACACGTGTATTGATATCGTATTGATTTCATATTTTTATATTGTTAAATATAACAATTTTACTTATGTAAGTGATCTAAGAACTTTCCCCCACCACTGTTCCACTGTTGTACAATTCAGCAGTAGATGGTGCTATTTGGCTGTAATTGTCCACCAGGATGATTAAACATTTCTTGTTAAACCCGCGGCCTCGTGTTTGGCAAGGAGTCACTTCCTTGTGAAAGTTCACCAGTGGAGGTGAAACTACAGCCGTGTATCTTTGGGCAGATCTGTCCTGTCATTAAACCTTGATGTCAGTGTCAGGCCAACCTCAGCTGATGGAGATCCATTCTCATCTTACATGCACATAGTGGAAGAAACCACAAGAGGGAGCTCATGTTTAACTAGATTGGGACGTTACAGAGAGGAGGAGCAATTTAAGAAACCCCACTTTCTGTGTCTTCATTTTCTGGAGAAGCTATACAGAATAATGAAAAGCGGGAAAACATAACCAGAAAACACGATTTAGACTTAAAGGTGAAATCAAAATAAAGCATACACCAAATATAAATCAATGCAACAAGAACCCACTTGACGAAAACATGTTTATATCTGAGACAACGTACGATGCTTTGAAGCTTTCTCTTTTTACTAAACTCTCTCACTCGGCCCATTTTTCCAGGTACCAAAATATCACTGCAAAGAACAACAAAATGCTAATCTGCTTTCAGTGAACTAACATTAGGCCTAATTGGAAGTTAATGAGCTATCCTGCTGTACCAGATATATTAAAATATCTGAGGTTTATCCTTCTTAGATGAAAATAACACCTCATTAAGGTAGGCCTATATATAGCAGAAAATAGCATTATTAAGATTAATTAATAATAAAATAAATATTAAGGAAGAGTTCAGACATTTTCAGGTGTTTCTATGTTCTCACAGACTGACTGCTAACTGCACTTGTATAACATTGTTGGACTCATGGTGGACAGGTAAAAAAAAATTATCAAAACTGATGCTGCAGCCTTTATCCCACACATTTCTTCCTTGTCAAAACCTGCCGCCTACATTACCCACAGTGCAACTCGAACTGTTGGCCTCGGAGATTCGGGCGTGCTATGCTATTAGCTGCTAATGTAACCTCGAGCTGCTAGCCTCAAGCAGAGATGAGGAGCCGGCTACAGAAGTCTGCTACGCTCACTTCTTTCTAGCTCTGCACCTTCCAGATTCTTTTCATTTTCAGAGTCGTAGTCTTCAGCCCCCAAACCGACGCCGACTCAAGTGACATCACTTGAGGCAGTCTTGTGTAGCCCCCGGTGGAAGCACAAAAGCTTTACACAGCTTTCACATTGTGCAGTAGTAGCCTACTCTCCAAGACCTGCAGACTTTGATGTGTAAAGTTAGTTTCCGTTTAAGTAATAAAATTATTAGTAAAATGTAGTAAAAGCATGAAAAGTAAAAGCACTCAAAGCAGAGCAGTGTTGTAGTCTTAAATATCCCATTGTAATGTTATTATTGTTGCAACCGGGTGTAAGTAGCATTTAATGTTGTAGTTAACAATCTGTATCATATTTTATAAGCCCATCATAAATGTCAAAAGTATTATATTTCCCTCTGAAATGTAGCAGTGTAGAAGTATAAAATTATTTTAAAAATGCTTGGAAACACACAATTAATGTAATTTGTAAGTTATAGTATAGTACTTGAGTAAATGTAGGTGAATTCTACCTCTATATACTGAAGATACAGGAAGGGACACATTTTTAGAGATTGTCTTGCTTGATCCTATTTTGCTTGGTTTGAATTTAGCAACAGGCATCTTTACCAATTCTGGTCACTATGGTAATGGCGCTGAGTATTGTTTCCTGCCTATGAGAGTGTGAGAAAGGAGAAGCATGGGAGCCTCAATGCTCGGAGGGGGCAGGATTTATTTTAATTTTATTGTATATTTTTCAACAGTTGAGTTATTCATCTTGTCAGCAAGGCACGGTTTTGTCAGGCAGCAGAGTGTGTCTGTGTGTGTGTCTGTGTGTGTGTGTGTGTGTGTGTGTGCGCGCGCGCATCCCTGAAAGCTGGGACCAACCGGCTGTTGCCATGGATACTCGGTGCTGACACCACAAGAACTGTGTAGGCTTGTTGAAGATATAATTAATAACAAAGGATTAGAGGCAAAGGTAGCATGGGGCTCAGTATGAGAAACCTCATCACACAGTTACTATAATTGGCAACCTTTGTGTGTGTGTCCGTGTCTGTATATGTGTGTCCGTGTGTGTGTGTGTGTCTGTGTGTGTGTGTGTGTGTGTGTGTGTGTGTGTGTGTGTGTGTGTGTGTGTGTGTGTGTGTGTGAGGCCACAAGAAAAGTTACCGAAAAATAACCGTGGAAACAGTACTCTCATACACTGCTGCCACATTTATCTTCTTGACAAGCAATTTGCTCTAAATATGTTTTCTTGGTTGGTGGCCAGAAACTTGTAGGTAGATGTTTTCTGAAAGTAATTTATTTGGACCAACATTACCTCGGTGGGTGCCTTGATGCACACTACATACTGGATATCTTGGGAACGTTTAGTAAACATAATGAGATAATTGATATCTATTTAATAAACTGTAGCTTTACACATGGATGCACAGAAACTTTGTCTATTGTTTACACAGAGCACAGGCTAGAATAAAGTGGTTTTTAGCCACGCTAGGGTGAGACTCTGTGGATGATACTATTACATTTTGTACAGGCATTCATGGTCCTCAGAAGACGAAGCATAATGACTTTGGTTATTCTCTGTCTTTTCCTTTAGCGCCACCATCAAGCAGATAATTTAGCTTTTATTAAAATGTCTCAAAAACAGACATTTGATACAGATATACGTGCTGTTCAGAGAATGATCTTTATGGTTTCTGGCTAAATAAGTTCTTAAAGTTTGGATGGATTGCCATGGAATTTGGTACAGACATCCATGTCCCCCTCAGGATGAATAAACCTTTTTCACAGCAGCCATATTATCAAGGATACTAATTAGGATTCAGTTCCATTCAGGTCAGAGTGCTAGTAACATGGTACTTTACTATTTTGTGACTGCTGTGGAAAAAAAGGTCTCTTGTAATAACTTTGATCATCCCTTAAAGGTCCAGTGTGTAACATATATATGATATATGCTATATGATATTCATAGGTATGTTTTTATTAGCCTTTAAGCACCTGAAAATAAGAATTTTTATCTACAGAGGGAGCGGGTACTGTTGAACCGCCATATTTCAACAGTAGCCCAGAATAGACAAAGCAAACACTGGCTCTAGATAGGGTATTTTGCGGCCGTTATAGCTTCTCCTACACGCCTGGGAGGCTGAGCTGTATTCAGTTGTTTGCAACCTGTAACTTGACCACAAGAGGCCACTGAATCGACCACACTGGTCCTTTAACCTTTTACTTAGAGCCATCATCAGGCCACAATTTCAATTTGTCAATGTACTTTGGTTTGTGACAAAATATCTTCAAAACTAATGACATTCCCTTCAGCCTCTGCTGCAATTGTGTTAAGTGAGGTTATGGTTATGAATAGTTGTATGGGAAAATAATATTAGTAGAACAAATAGTTTAGCTAAATAATTAATGGCATTTGAAAGTAAAGTAGCCTAGTCCAAAATTTAACTAAAGGACCTAATGTAAGGTAAATCTAATGCAGATAATGTTTAGGTTTTCTTTTATATTATTTTAGAGAGGTATTCTTTCAACTTTATGATAATTTTAGAGGATGTAGGTATTGGTGCGGTTGAGCTGTATTGCGTAACAGAGAGCTGTTTCTGTTATTTAGTCTTAATGGGATGCTAACTAATTAACTAATGTTTAAGTCATTAGTAATAAATGAGTCGTTACTAGTTTTGTGCCACTCAACGGCTGCTTTAGACTTAATTAGGAACAACTCATTAAGAAAGTGGTCAGAATGATCAATTCACCGATATTAATGAACCAGTCGTTACCTAATGATTCATGAGGATCTTCCAGTCTGATCATTATTTACTATATAGTCCCCCATTAGGAATTATTAGTGAAGTACTGATTAATGATTCATCGATTACCAAGTAGTTTCCATCCGTTCCTCAGACTTGTTACTTAATTAACCTATCATTAACTAATCATTAGGGCTTCTCTTTTTCTTTGTTTCATTAGGAGTTGCTCAATAACTAATGGTTCACTAGAAGTTAGTTCCTCATTCGTTCCTGTTTTTTTCCTTTGTAACGACTCAAAATGTTGTGTCCCTTGTTTTGAAGTGTCACCAGGACTTCTTCTGTTGCCTTTCTGTCGATGAAGTGGGAATTTCTGCAGGTGGCGCTCGTTTCTTCGTCTGTTCAACCGTGAAGTCTGTCGACGCTCGTGATAACAGCTCAGTTAATCTGCTGCACGATGCTACAGTCACCATTTGCTGTGTGACTGAGTTGGGGGAGCACACACACAGTTGCATGACAGGCTCTGTTGACAGAAAA